TTATGTAACAAGCGTGTTGTCGTTAGTCACGAATTTCTTCGGCCCCATGCGCTACCACGCTTCCTTCGAACCAAAGAAGAGAAAACGTCGCGACGAGATGCACCAATCTTCTAAATGTCGATTTATCGAACAACTGCATCCTGGTTTTCGATGCATCGCGAAAACTTGGTTCTTTTTTCCCCGATGTCTCTCGGTTCGATTCGTTGTTCGACTCCTCTGCGTGTGGATAGATTCCATGAAGCAAGAGTGGGGGATATTGGTGCCTCGTGGCCTCCCCTATATAAGGTTTGCGCCGTTCCATTGCCTCTCGGTTGTTCCCCAATTCGGGCAACTTCTCCGAGACTTGGCAAACCGCACACTGTAAGTCCTATCATTTTTCTTTTTCTTTTCTCTCTTTCTCTCTTTCTCTCTCTCTCTCTCGTTTGGTTAAGGTAAACTTAACGTTGAATCAAACATCAGATACTGCTGTCAAGCTTCGAAAAGAAGAAACTTCTCTTCTTTATGTTATGTTACTCCACGAGACACGCACTTTTAGCTAATCGCAACGTAGAAGTTTAACTTACGTTTCAGACGAGGGGAGAGTGACAAAGTAAAGTATTCAATACCGATAAGATAATTAATGTCAGTGTGTCATTCGACTCGTGCGACTCGTTCAGGGTTTTCCTTTCCTTTTTTTTTTTTTCTTTTTTTCTTCTCAAAACGAAGGTGTTAAGAATCATCCGAAGGTTATTTCCATTGTGTCCCTGGCAGTTTTTGCAACGCAATTTGGAAAATTTGCCGAGTGATCTTCTTTTCTTTTCTCCTAAAAAGCTAGTTAACAGCCAAAAAGTTAAGTTCAGGCATACTTTGAATCTATACGCTGCAGATTTTCACGCGTTTGCGGGAAATTTGAATTTGGAGAAGAATATAATTTATATTCCTGGTTCTTGTTCATCACAAAATTCACATCTGGAACATTTTAGTACCCTTGTCATATAGTTTCTATGTTCGAAGTTCGTGTTCGTATTAAAATAATAATTTAACGAATCTCTGTATGACAAAGACACAGCGTTTGCACGAGAATCTGCAGCACCGTTGCAAAAGTTGCATGAAACGAAAAGGAGAAATTATATTATATATCAGTCGGCGGACAATTTACATTCGGCATATTTTTATTGAGATCGATTATCACTGATCACGAATCGATTAAGACGTGGCGGAGAATATTATGCTTATACACACGCACACGCACACACACACACACACGCACACGCACACGCACACGCACAAGAACACACGCAACACAGTTGGAAAACGATATACTATACGTTTTGTTATACTATATCTTTTAACGTTGTTAATATCTTTGTGTTTTCTGTTTCGCATAAGTGGCACAATTGGGTTCTTCGATTCTATTGCGTTATTTTGAGAGATGATGGCGAGAAGGAATGAACCGTCTTCTTTCTTGTTTGCCAGATCGAGCTTAGAGAACGTTCAATAGAAGCAGAGGACGCAGTCAGTTCATGATCGTCTATGCTCCTGTTACTTTATCGATGTACACATTGTACCGAATCTTCACGAATTAAAGATCATTTTTATGGTGATGCTCCACGTTTTCGTCTCTGTGTTTTTTTCATTCACCCGATTTCCATAATTCATGCAATATGGAAAACGAATCGAGGTCCGTCGGGATTTGATCACTCTGCGCGACACTAAACGGTCAATCAAACCGTTCGGTATAAAGATTTTTCTACCGTGTATTTCCAAAAAAAAAAAAAAAAAAAAAAAAGTGACTTTTAAATGGTTTTAAAACGCTTCCATTTTGATAACAGGTACACGCAACACTACTTGAAACCATTT